CAGGATGCGTCGGAACTGTCCTGTCTGGCTAAGACAAAATCAGGAACTCTAAAGTCTAGAGATCATCCACATGTTCCTATATCAAAATGTATCCAATGAACGGCAGGGGTGTATCCAATAGCTACTGTTCAGCGTAGTGTGTAACTTGGGTTCTCTAAACTCTAAAATATGACGTGTATGCGTCCGGGATTGATAATATAAAGAAATAAGACACGGTCGAAACATGAGTTTTTTTTCGCACTCTACGCGAATGAACCAGATGAAGGTGGAAGGAGTCGGAGAACACTTTGAAGAAAGGTCTATTATTTTAGTTTACAAAATAAATCTCAAAAATTGGCATCCGGAGGAAATAGGGCAGGGGAAAGACTAGATTGGAAATCCATAATTATGATAAAACAAAAGTTCGGACACAAAGATAAATAACATGTGGCGCTATTTTCAAGTAAAGTGAGCAGCTGGCGCAGACTCCTGCTCAGAGTTTTGATCACTGGCAAAAAGAGGATCAACAAGTATTTGACTGGCGGACGGTCGGCTTTCGGGAGATAGACTCAAGAGGCTACGACAGAAGGCGGCCTGAAAGACAAGAGAATGTTTAGAGTTGACAGTCCTTTTAGGCTCGGTTGAAATATTCATAAGATCATAGGAACATGGCACAAGCATACGCAGACCGGAAGCGACAATCCGCAGGCAACTCATACAACCTAAAGATCCAATACCTGTTCACCAAAAATCCGGTGGCAGTTACCATATCGACTGCCTTTGTCGTCAAGTCAATTATGTTGGTGAAACCGGCAAACGGGTTCTCACGAGACCGCATGAGCACGAACTCGCCGAGCGACGGAAGGAGAAGCCTTTCTTTGGTAGCCGCTTACGCACCCACGCCAGGGCACGGCTTCGACTTTGAACGCGTGATACTACTGGGTCAGTCGGACAACCTAATCTCACGCCTGCTGCAGGAGGCATGGCACTCGCACGCGGATTCTGTTAATGGGCAAATCGATCTTCCGGTTGCCTAGTTGGCGTCGCGCGAACAAATCGATAGCAGAACTCAAGGTCACTCCCGGCGGAGCTGAGCTAAATATGCAGTGAGCTGTACACTTTTTATTCCTTGACAATGAGTTCACGTGAAAGTCCGAAACGTCGGGAAAATAAACAACTGGTCCCAGAGGACGTTTTCCCGTCTTCTATACATAGGTATAGACAGTAAGCCCCCTGAACGGGCCGCGTGGTAGGTGCGCTGGACCAAAACAAGGGCCAGGTTTTATTTGGATTGCGCTCCCATAACAAATGCTGAACATATGGAGAGGGCGTTATTGGCATACAAAGGCGCAGACTCAGGCACCAGGCCTTTATAGCACCTCCACTCAGTACGATCTGAGTCAGGCCTCGGTCGCGCCAGCCACCTGCGCCCGACCTCGCTTCCGGTCTTCTTGGCTCGGTCTTGACACCGGGCTCGGGCGGGTGAAGGATAGAGTGTGACAGATGCAATTCAAGTCTACTATCGCTTAAAACTAATCCACGCGTAAGTCGCTGTCCCTGCACCACCAGGCTGTAGAACACATGCTGGACGGCATCGAAAAGGAGGGTCAAACTGGCACATATAGTAGATTCTCATGAATTTTTATCCGAAATTCTAAACTATGTTTTCGATTCGTACAACTTACTTAAGTAGGAGTGTAATACACATCACTGACTGGGTAATGAGTAGCCGCTACTTATAGCAATTGAGGATGTTCAAATCAATGGGTTATGAAGCGGACAATGACCTACGCGTAAACACTGTATGACTCTTATGGCGTAAGCGACGAATAACTCAAAAAGAAGGAACAAAAACACAATACATGGGGTTGCGTAAAATTCAAGGCATCAGGAAAATCTAAAGTTTACCTCCTTGGGATGGGCTTCGGTAAAAGCCACCGGTAAATTCTGTTGCTTTGCCCTTGTCAGGGTAATCACACGTTCCATTTCTGTGGTGAAAGCGATCATCAACTCAAGGAACAAGAGCCCGAGTGAAAATATGTCCACTTTCTCGTCGTAGTCCCCACCTGATGCCTGTAAAAGCAGCAAAGAAAGACTTCCTTTCAGTTTGAAACCTGGAGCATTTTTGCTAATAGTACCTTTGACTAAAATATGCAAAACAGTGAGTCTCACATTGATCCAAAGGACGTACGAGGAGGTCAACCCCCTACATCGTGGACTAAGATGACAGGTCGGTTATTTCTATATATTGCTGTAGTAATATGCGGTTGACTCATAAGGCAAAGATTGAGGCGTTCCGCGAAGGAATTTCCTGGATTTAGAAAAATAGTTCTTTAAAAATTGCGCTCCTTAAAGATTATATCTGTAGTGGAAGTTCAAATGCCATACCAGTTCTCCCAGTTTCATACAATTTGAGATATATTATCACGCAATTTCTTCTGCGATTTTAGTAGCACGTAGCATCTGGTCTCAAAGTAAAAAGCCTTGCAAATCAATGACATCGAAAAGAGCTCAACCAACGACGGCGAAACAGGTTTACGCTAATTGGGCATTTTTCCGTAAATTGCTTTGTTAACCTCGAGGCCAATACGTAGGTACTTTAAAAGGCTCCATGAGAATTTTAAACTAAAACAGCCCTACTTGCTAGAAATTGTTGAGCGGCGAATTGCTTCTTCTGATGTTATTGGCTCATCGCAATCCTAACCCCAGCGGATGGATCATGACCCATCGGTAGAACAGTCGTAGTTCACCGCACAGCGATGGCGTGGAGCGGCTTAATGAAAGGACGGCTTCTGGGTCAGAATGTGGGTAGTTCCGCCGCCACCCCTCCGGCACAAAACTTAAAGGTTCCAGAATTGTGCGGGAAAGCACGGCCCGTGAGATCTTAATTGACGACCCGCATGGTTCGCCAGGTCGTAATACCGCAATGGCTCGTGACTTGTAGTAGGTAATCGACTAGTCGGATCGACGCCTGGCCACGCCAACAGTTGCTACCGCTGCACAGTTCACTGCAACTTAGTCTTCAGACCTGAAAGCCTACTGCTTTGGCGGGCTAACCAGCCGGGCGCAGTCTCCTGGATCTTAAAGCGCGACCAACTTGCTTCGAAATGCTCCTCCGGGGAAAATGGCGTCAGTTTTCAATTGCGGCTATGAAATGCAGACAAGTCAAGAGTTTTTTTACGTTTAAACAATGGCAGATCCATAACATTTGCAAAGATAAGTTGGCGAACATACGTTTTTTCGATAAATTCACGTCAGGCCTTTACATTTATATGGTAATTAATGTTAAGTATGTGGGTTGGTTGCAAAAATAGCGCGGTTGTCAGGGCAACTGCGGAGGGGAGTAATCTGGATGAAAATCAGCTCGCCAATTTGTCTTCTGAAATTTTCAATGGGAATTTTCGCAAAAGTAATACTTGCGTCAATTTACTTGCAGAGGCCCGCGCGCCAAGAAGAACACAAGTTGGCAAATGAAAAATCGGCTAGAAAAGCGATCGGCGAGAGAAACTATTTGCACGGCTTCCCCAGGCGATTTAACAACTAATCCTTTTTGAGTCATACTGGCAGGTTACTTGGTAGTCTGTGTTGAAAATGTGGCCAAAAGCCGAGATATCACTGTCTAATTACGTCCTGTGTGAGTCTCCAAGGGAAAACGAAGCAAGAAGGGCGCAAAAGTAGAAGTATTTTAGCGTACTTAGTACAACATACTTAAGGCAAGCAAACGCGTGTACAGCCATGTCCATCGGAACAATCAGATAGTGTCCTCGGGCGAGCGTCAACTTGATTGGCTTGTGATTTATCCGGCTGACTTTTCAGAGTCCTAAGCCTGGCCGCGGCTATGCGCGGCATCATCAATTGCGCTGTGTGTAGGAGGATCAATAACCTGGCATGAGCGCGACTCGCTATGGCTGCCTGCTTGCGTATCCGTAAG